AAACGATCGCATGTACGAATGATACTCTGCCAATGCACGATAGAAAAATAAAAACCAATCATATCAGACAGACATGGGCATTTCTACCTATATTACTATTTCAATACTAGTTTCTCCGACATATCATATCGATGGCCATGACAACCATGCGATGCAAATTTAGTTTTTTCAAGTTGTCTTTAGAACAGAAGTAGACAATGATAAAAAAGCAAGGATCGTGCATCAGTATATCTCGATAATTTAAACTTTTCAAACATGAGGACGTACTACGTGCGTACAAGTCTATACTTACATATCTGACGATGGCGTTTCGTACTGCCTGTCATCATCATCATCAGCTCTTTCAGGATCATTCAGAGCGAGAAGGCCGATGTTTTGGGTGAGTCGAGACCGTATCGACTGTAGAATTGACATTGATGTGGTAGACCAAACAAATTTATGTCTAGTCGAAGAATTGAGTTATTACTAACTTTAAAAGGAAAAGAATACACATTCACTAGAAGAAAATGTATTTTATCTTCGTATGAAGACTAGTTCCCATTCTCAAGATAGTTATTAAGTTACTCAACAATTGGAAGATTATTTATCTTAACGATCGAGGAATCTAGCGCCCGGAGGAGAAGAAGTCAGGTTTTACTTCCGTCTTCACGCAAATCAGTTTTCAGATTCTTTATAGAGTTGATGATGACTGGAAAAAACGAAAAACAAAAGTGATTAAAACAATTCTGAGGAAGCTTTATATAGTTTTCTTTATGATGGAAGCCTTTAAGCGCCGTCACTTCTTTCATCTTTTCTTTTGTTTGATTTTTCAGACACACAAATACCTTACAAGCCTTCCACTGCATTGCTAACACCTCTGGGCGATTCACTATGATAGGCACACAAAAGTACAACCTTGCCAACAAACTATGGTTGTCTTTATTTGCCCATGTACACTTTTTTTCATATCAAAAAGAAGGAAAAATATTCGCGACAAGCAGTGTCCAGTCGATTCAAAATATTGATCTAAGTCACGATCAAGCAAGAATTGATTAAAGAATAGAGTATGGTGTATTAAACATAGTAAAAGAAGAAATCATGTGAAATAGTCACCATTAATGAAGATATTCGAGCTATCTTGATGGTGTGTGTGAGGATGTGTGAGAATGTGAGTGTGGGCGTGGGTGTGGATGTAGGTGTTTTGGGTGTGGGTGTTGGGTGGGGGTGGGGTGTTGGGTGTGGGTGTGGGATGTGAGTGTGGGATGTGAGTGTGGGGCGTGGTTGTGGGTGTGGATGTGGGTGTGGTTGTGGGTGTGAGTGTGGGTGTGGGTGTGGGTGTGGTTGTGGGTGTGGTTGTTGGTGTGGGTGTGGGTGTGAGTGTGGGTGTGCGTGTGATTAGAGAGAAGAATAACGCCCATACCCACACTCGACTCACACCCACACCGACACCCACCCACACCCAACC